CCGAGTCGAGAGCGCCAGGGCGCATGAAGGGGTTCCAACAAAAATGATTGCTGAACTGGCAATGAGGATTCAACATCAAGAAACAGCTAGAAGCCAGGAGGAGGAGGAAGCAGAGGCGAGCGAGCTCAACGCGGTACCGCAAGCGCCAGAAGACCACAGGGCGAGGCGAAGCGGAAGAGGGCGGTGGCCTCGGTCGAGAGGCGTGGGGGCACGGGCGGAAGAGGCAGAGGCAGCTCCAGGCCGAGGGCCAAGACGCTCCGCTGGCGCAGCGCACCGCAGAAGGACGCAGACGCGATGCAAGAGGCCTCGGAGAAAAATATGAGACGTCAGCCATACGAGCGCCGGGCGCGCCGGCGTGCCCTCCTGTCTAGGGGGGCCTCGAATTACAACAACATTGCATAAACATACAAATTTCGGCGTTCCGCGCGGATTTCTTGGATCTGCGCTGGGATCCCCCGCGGATCCAAGAAATCCGCGCGGACCGCCATTCCTCTAGGGCCACCAGCAGGCGCGAGCAGCAGCAGATTGGAGAGGCAAGGCCGATCAGTCGGTACATTCGAGGTGGGTACGGGAAGAATGGGTACAAAGACCGACAACAACTCTTGCCCATTTTGACCAGGACTCACTGTCGGTGTCCTCGCGGATGTTGTCCATTTGAGAGAGAAGGCCGGCTGCCTAACAGCGGCCTCTGCCGATTTTGGACAACATGTGTTTTGAGCATCGTATACACTATTCCCCCACATGTTGGTGGGGCTCTTGTTTTCTTAGAGCACCCTTTGCTTCCTTCCTCCGTCCTCCTCCCTCCTCCTACCCTGGCAGGGAGGCTGTTACCCCAACACCCTCTCCTCCTCGTCCTCCTCCTCATCTTCATCCTCATCCTCATCCTCCTCCTTTTCCTCCTCCTTTTCCTCCTCCTCCTCCTCCTCCTCCTCCTCCTCCTCTCGCCACCTCCCTCCCTCCTTGTCCTCCTCCTCCCTCCTCGTCCTCCTCCCTCCTCGTCCTCCCCCTCGTCCTCCCACCCAGTGGGCGTCTCCTGCTCGGCCTGTGCGCACAAAGAGAAAAGGAGGAGGAGGAGGAGGAGGAGGAGATGGGGATGTTCCGAGGGGGTTCTCCATATTCAGATATACATTTTTCCCTACATCTACAAGCAGAGATCTGATTGTGTCTACATCTCGTTGTAAAACAATGGATGTGCGGAGGCACAGACGCACATTAATATATATATATATACATATATATATATGTATACATACATATAACCGGTATATACATATATATATATATATGTATACATGTATACGCCTCCTGTCAGCATCTTCAGCACCTGCAGCATCTACAGTTCCTCTCAGTAGGCGCCCGCGGGCGCCAGCCATTATTTTCTCACTATTGTTTGCCTGTCAGTTGTTGTCGGGTTGTTCTTTTCCCATCAGCTAATGTGTCTTGAACTCTCTTGCACGACAGAAGAGTGCTGAGCTTGTCTGCACAAGGACTGCAACATAATTCGCTACATTTCCAATCGAGTCGGCGCGTCGTCTCCGTCGTCGTCGTGATCGTCGTCGTCTTCATATGGGCGACGCAAAAATACAGGGTTGTCTTCGCCGACATTGGCGCGTAAGCTGCCCGCGCTGGCGGCCCGCCTAAGCCGCCGCGTAAGGTTCCTATGTCATCTCGCGTAAGACCCGTTTCTTTTCGTCGTTCATATGGGAGTTGCGCAGGCCATCGCGCGCAGTAAGAGTTCGCCATATTTGTGCTGAGCTTGCTCGGTGGTGGCCGCGCGTGCCATTATTGCGAAGGCCTTACGGCCAGTGCGGCCGACCCTGAATGACGACGACGACGACGACGACGACGACGACGACGAGCACTCGGGGGCCTCGTGGGAAGCTCTTGGGAGCCGCTTGCGAGCCTCGTGGGGACCTCTTGGGGCTTCCTGGGGTGGTGGCCGACAGAGGATTGTTGAGCTTGTTTGTAGAAGGGGTGAATGATGATTCGCTACATCTCCAATCGAGTCGGCGCGTCGCCTTCGGCGGCGTCGACGACTATAGCGGAGGCCTGGGCAGTGGCCGCCGCGGTGGAACAATTTGTTTCAATTACCGTTGGGGCTCGAATCCGTTCATAACCCCGCGTCAGAATAATTAGTTTCCCAGTATTGCGGTCGAGAGCGTCGTGGGGAGTTGGGATGTGTGCCTCAGGGCTCGAGCTAAGCGGTGTTTTGGCTATCTCGTGGCCCGTTTTCCTTTTGACGTCGTTTTGCAGCAAAGGAAGAACGAAGACTGGACGAGGGAAAACCAAAACAAAGCGGATGGTGATATCGTTTTGCAGCAAAGGCGGAACGAAGGCAGAATGAGGGAAAACGAAAACGGAATACACTGCTCAGCTCGCGCCCTGGTGTGCCCTGAGACCTGGGCGTCGCAATTTTTTCACACCAGGCGTTTTTGCCCCGCTTCGAGAATTGGGAGCCTCATGGATCGATCCGGCGTGAAAAATTCAGCAGGAAGGTGGGGGTCCAGGGCCCCAGTCGTGATTCCCTACGATGCTGCAAGTTTTTCGTAACATCGGAACTCAGAGTGCACTCGAGGGGAAGGCGAGACGCGGCTTGGCAGACAGCGGAGCCGCTGCCATTGAGGGTGACCCAGGGGCCCGGAGCTCGGAGCCTGAAGGCGGAGGAGCAGCAGCAGAGTCCGAGGTGCGGTTGCACAAGGACGCCAGGCACGCAGAGCGGTGATGGAGGCATGGCGGAGGGATGACGGAAGGACGCGAGCATGGCAGGGCCGAGCGTGTGCCTTTTGCGCGCCCCTTCTTTTCCCTCCACACCTGCCGCTCGGGGTGCCGCAGTCCCAGTCTTGGCGGGGCTCGGGCGACGTAGCCCGATTATGTGGTGCCAGCGCGATCCAGGAGCTGGTCCGCATGCAATTCCGGTACACACCTCACACCTTCGGTGCCCATTGGAAGTTCCAACGACGGTCTCATTGGGGTCCTCCTCCTCCTCCTCCTCCTCCTCCTCCTCGCACGCCTCACACCTTCGGTGCCCACAGAGAGCTCCACCAGCGGCCTCGGTGGGGGCGCGTCCCTGCGCGCTTCGCGCCTCTCAGCTCGGTGCACACCCTGCACAGCGCTGCGTGCTGCATGGAGCGCTCCACGCACGGCCCTTTGTGGTGCATTCCTACGAGAGCCGCGCTTCAATTCGGCACACGACTCGCACGTATTGTGCCCCATGGAAGGCGTCGTTTTCCTTTCGCGGTCCGCGCTTCGACGAATTAGGCGCGCCCCATCAAACGTCTCGTGCCCCACTGGAAGCTCCGCGTACACCAGTAGTGCAGTCTTGCGCGGTCCGCGCTTCAAGTCGGCGCACTTCTCACACGTCTGATGGCTCATGGGGAGCTCCACCTTCGGTCTCAGCGGGGGCTCTCCTATGCGGTCCTCGCTTCAAGTCGACACATTCCGTACAGCGCTCCCCGATCCAGTTTTTGGAGAGGTTTTTCCCGTTGTTTCCACCCCTTCCCAAATCACATTATGCAGCACGTCTGTCTCAAGGCTTGGGGGCTCGCCCGGACGCGGTTTGCTTTGGACATGCCGGATCGACACGCAGATGGCAGGCACCATGATCAATTGGGGAAGCGGTGTTGCCGCGCAAGCGGTTGTAAACGGTATGAGGGCGGATTTGGTCGTTGGATTTTGACGTTCAAACGCCTTGGTCTTGAGACGGGCTTCCTGGTGTCAAGAATACAGCAGTTATCCGATTGCATGTCCGTAATGATTATTACAGTGCTTGGCCTGTCCCTCCTTGTTCCAGTAGGGCACGCTTGCTGGAACCCTGAACAGGCCACTGATAATGCATCTACTAGAGTCATAAAGTGGCAGGCTGTAATATTCTTCAGCGCAATGGCGGCGTCGGTAGTGATGCTTCTATTGGCGAAGGCGCTAGCGCGCAGCAAGAAGACACCGCGCAATGTGGTGTTGACTATGGAGTTCACCACGACTGCCGTGGGCTTGATCTTCATGTTGATGACGATTGGTGTCAGCAGCCACTACATCGCGAGAATGCTAGGGCGCGACAACCCAGAGGCAGTGTGGGGCCGGAACCTCGGATTTGCGGATGGCTTGAACCTTCTCAACATAAATATGAGATTGTCATGCGACCACCTGGCCCCCGTCCGTTGTATATGATTGTTCCCACTGGAGGTTGCGTTGCTGGTCATGTTCGTGCTGCCTATCTGCGTGTGGGGCAGCCCCGCTCCAGAAGTGGCCCCTCTGTTCACAATCAATACGGTGTGGGTGGCCGGATTGGTGCCCTCTATAAAGCGACAGAGCGAGTGGCAGGAAAGGTTCTTATTCAAGGGTTTGTTGAAAGAGAAGAAGTTGAGGTTCGAGGTTGAGCACAAGTTCGCTATGCAGCAGGATTCGGCAAGCGCGACCAACAGCAGGGGCACCCTCACGGAGGTCTCCACAATTGGATCCCGCCCAGAGACAACGTCCACAGCGTTCGCGTGATGGACCAGTTCGACAGTTTTGCGGAGATGCGCGCCGTCGGTATCAGAGAGCAGTGGCTGATCGAGGAAACGGAGGTGAAGGCGTTGCCAGGCCCAGTTCTCGGCAGAGGCGGGTTCGGCGTTGTGGTCGCAGGAGTCTACCACAACACACCCGTTGCATTGAAGATGCCAAGGCAGGACATCAAGATGAGTTTCGTGCACAAGAGCCTCTCTTCTCTCTGCAACGAGCTGCGGATCCTTCGCCAGCTTCGTCACCCCACATCGTGTTCCTCTTCGGCGCCGCCATAGAAGAGCACCATATCTCGTGCGATTCTGCCCCGTGCGTCCCAGCATCGTCTTCCTCCCTGCGACTCTGCCTCGTGCTTGAGTATATCGACGGTTTGCTCCTGAAGCACTTCATCCGGGCGCCCAAGACCGCTGGCGACGATACCGGAGGGGAGACGTTGATGCGGCCGCCCCTCAGCAGCACCGCCATCATCACCGACCGCATACGGATCGTGTTTGACATTCTGGATGCGCTACGCTATTTGCATTCGCGGGCCCCTTTCAGTGGTCCATGGCGACCTGAAGTCCTCAAACACGTTCGTGCAGCATTTGTGTTTCAATGGCTGCATCATTGCGCTCACGAAGCTGCTAGATTTCGGCATCGCGCGCCTGCTCACTCGCTCGGCGGAGCCTTTGGGCGGCACAACGCGGTGGAGGGCTCCCGACCTGTTCGGGGAGAAGATTGTTCGTCCAGAGGCGGCAGCGGATGTGTACTCGGTCGGCTTGTTGATGTTCTTCATCGTAATTGGGACGTTGCTTTTCCAGCATGTTCATGGCAAAGAGATTGGCCGAAGAAGAGTTGAGAAGCAGCCGCTCTTCTTATCTTGGCCTGATGACCGCAGCGACATGTTGAGCTTGCAGTGTTGGTGCACCGCTTCGGTGGAGCTACGTACGCACGCAGGTGTGGCCAGAGGAACGACCGAGTGTCTAGGCTGTTTGTGATGAGCTCACTCGAGGGGTCGAGGTCTTGGATCGGGCTGGAACCCGCGAGGCGAAAGACGATGGATCTGCCGACCTGCGCCGCGCCAGCACCGAGCCGTGCACAGGCGACGCACCAGACCCTCACCTGGCCCCAGTACCCGAGGGCGTGCGCGGCCGAGACACCGCCACTCCAGCACACCAACCCTTCGAAACCGCGCCGCAAAGCACGAGATACGACCTCTGACGGATGCAGTGGTGTACGCCTTGGGGTTAGGCTATGTGCATGCCGTTCCTCCTGCGATTCCATGGAAGCTTTGAATGTTTTTGTTCACGGCACATTGTGAACGGTGCCGTCCCGCCGCTCTCGACGGTTGGAGGACCCGCCGTTCCTTGTGCACATTAAGACGGTCGGGTGACGAGAAGGAGAGGGTTGTGGATGATGATGATGATGATGATGATGATGATGCTGATGCTGATGCTGATGCTGATGATGATGATGATGATGATGATTATGATGATGATGATGATGATGATGATGATGATGATGATGATGATGATGATGACGATGATGATCATGAGCATGATCATGATGATGATGATGATGATGATGATGATGATGATGATGATGATGATGATGATGAGAATGAGAATGAGGATGAGGAGGAGGAGGAGGAGGAGGAGAGGACGGCGAGGACGAGGATGCGTTTGGAATGGAGTTCGGCCGCGCCACATTGTTGGGAGTCCCAGGTACAGTTTCCCAACTTCCCGCCACAGCGACACAATCCTCTTTCTCCTCATCTCCAGTCCAGTAGGAGTTGTGGAGGGTCGGCCGCGGCGTGGCCGATCGCATTCAATTGCGATTCCGCGTGTCTGTGGCTTTGCGCCCATGTCCGTTTCGTACTCGTCATTTTGTGAGTGTTTTGCACAACCATCTCATCCCATGACGTGCCAGAGTGGGTTAACCCGTGATAGAATGCAGTATCTACGATATGAAGTTGTTGAGGTCGGGGGCTCGCTTGTATTATCCGATACATCGCACCGTCCTGCACAATCAGTGCTTGAACTACGGCATTGGCGCGTGGACCCCTAACGGTGAGGTAGGAGATGGTCACGACGGCCGCGATTGAGGGTTTACCTATGGGCCACAGACAGTCGGGTCACGATGTCATTTCGATGTGTTCCTCAGTGGTTGCTGCCAGGAGGGGACGTGGGCGAGAGCATTCGTTCGCGATGTCGCTGTCTTGTGTCATAGCCCTCCTCCAGGCGCTCAAGGGCGGAGGGACCAGGTATACGTTTTACCGAAGACACCTCCAGCGAACCACCGCCGCCCCCTGCCTTTTTTCCGTAAACGCCCATGCGCCCATGCGCCCACGACGACGACGACGACGACGACGACGACGACGACGACGACTGCGGCGGCAGCGGCGGCGGCGGCAACGGCGACGGCGACGGTGACGGCGACGGCGACGGCGGCGACCGACGGCGGCGGCACGCCAGCGGCGGTGATGACGAACGCTGGCGACCGACGGCGGCGCGGCGGCACGGCGGCGGCGACAACGCCGACCTGCCTGACGCCACCAGCCCCCTCGGCACACCGAGTGCCGAAGGCGCCGCCGCAGCGCCGCGCGCGGATGCCGCACTGGGCGCGCCGCCCTCGTCGCCGCCCGCGGGGCTGCCGCCACCACTGGGGCTCACGGCGCCCCCCGGCTGCGCGCGCGAAGCGCCAGCGCTCCCCGTCCTCCGAGGGGCCTCCAGCGGCTTACAGAGGTTCGAGGCGGTCACCCTCTGCACCTTCGACGGGTCGGAGGAACGAGGGTTCTCGGATGGTTTCGGGTTCATTTTCGGGATTCGAGGTGGTGTCCATGAGCTGCGCCTCGTCGAGAGCGTTCCGGGGGTGCCCAGATCGTCCCGAACGGCCTCCGTAGACCCGAGTTGTTATTCGGTGTTGCGGCAGGCGGTGGGAGCTCAACGAAAGCACGCTGATTGGGACCGCACGGGGCGGAGCGTTGCAGAGCCGAGATGGGTCCCGCCTCCTGCCTCGTGGACGTCTACGGCCGATTGTTGGCCGACCATCGTGCAGGCAGGCCAGAACCTGCTTTCTCCGAGCATGAGAAGTGGGGCGCCGCCATCTTCGGACTCGGAGAGCCGTCGGAGGCCCTCCGAAGGACGGCCTTCGAAAAAAAAACACAAACCTTCAGGGGGCCTTCGCAGAGTCTTCGGAGGGACCACAGTGGAGGCCCTCCAGGGCCCCCGGGAAACCAAGACATTGCAGACCAGGATTTTATCCAGATCCAGCGTGACAGATCGAAGAATGGAGGATTGCTCCACCAACGCCAGTAGTTCTCTCTGGCTTCCCAACGTCCTGGTTCATCAAAGACCCCATTTTCGGCGCCGGGATGTGCGAAGCGTTCACCGTCCTCGACGTCCGAATGCAGCCAGTGCGTCTTCTTCTACTGCCACTGGGGCCTGTAGCGGTGCTTGTTCGTCTTCTCGCACGGCCCGCACCAGTGCCTCTCCTTCCTCCTCGTCTGGGGCCCGCAATGGTGCCCACCCGTCTGCTCGTCCGTGATTGTCATTGCCGAGCCGCTGGACGCCAGACTTCCTTGCTGGGCGGCGCCTCTACTAAGGCGATGATGTTCGATGTCGACTTAGTCGTCGTCCTACTCCACTCCTCCTTGTAGCCCCCAAGACGTGTCGGTAGGGCGGGTCGGGCGGTTCGCCAGAGGTTTCCCCGCTATTTCTGATTTTGAAGTTTGAAATCTGCAACCGTTTCAAAGATTGAGGGCGGGTGGTTTTCAAAATGTGGCTCTCGCTTGAGCGCCACACAGATTCGTCCTAAAAGCGCGCCACAGCTTCGAGGATAGAGGGCGGATGGCTGTGGTTATCGCTTTTGCGCCGCGCATTTTCGTTTTCAAAGTTTGCAGCAGCTTCGGGGATAAAGGGGGCTGTGTTTCAAACTGTGGTTCTCGTTTTGCCGCCGTGCGCATTCGCCTTTGACGTGTGCAGCAGCTTCAATGATGGAGGATTGTTCTTTTCAACATGCGGTTCTGGCCTTAGCGCCGCATTCTGCCACAGTCTTACGGATTCGCATGGTTGATGTCCCAGGAATGGCGTTCTGGCGCGGTTTGGGCTTGTAGAGACGCAGCAGTCAGATTGTTTCGCGGTGTTGAAGTCCCAGGGAGGGCGTCCTGGCACGATTTTGGGTTGTCAGGACGCAACAATCACGTTGATTCGCACCGTCGAAGTCCCAGGGGCTGCGGTTTGGCACGATTAAGAATTATTCGGCAATTGCCTTCGAATATTGCACTTCCCGCAACGCAATTTGAATTCATTCTTGCAGGCGCTTACGAGAGAGAGCGTGATCCACCGCCGCTTTACCGTGGGAAATTCCCCCCCTCTTCCTCCGGAACCCGGGGGTCCGCCCCCAACATTGAAAATCCCCCCCTCCCCTGCTGGACCCCCCCCTTCCCCCCGGCAACCACCCCCCCTAACCCCTCCCCCCCACCCCCCCCCTCTCCGGAAAACCAGGGGGGTCATACCGGTTCAAACCTTCCCCCCCTCCAGAAAACCGCGGGGGGGTCACTACCGGTTCGAACCCCCCCCCCTTCCAAAACCGGGGGGGTCGCTACCGGTTCGAAACCCCTCCCACCCCACACACCGCAGGCAAACGACTCCCGGGTCCCCACCACCGTTCGCACCACATCCCCCACTGTTGTCCCTAGCACAACTGTCCCCACCACCACTGCCCCCTCTGTTCCCACCACCGTCCCCACTGTCCCCACCAGTGCCCCCACCACTGTCGCACTGTCCCCACTGTCCCCACCACTGTTCTCACCACGGTCCCCCTCTCCCCACTTTCCCCACGGTCCCCACCGCTGTCCCACTGTCCCCACTGTCTCACTGTCCCCGCCGCTGTCCCACTGAGCTGCCCCACTGTTCCCACCACTGTCCCCACCACTGTCCCCACCACTGTCCCCACCACTGTCCCCACTACTGTCCCCACCACTGTCCCTACTGTACCTCTGCCCCATTGTCCCACGACCGTCCTCGCCACCGCCTTCACCACTGCCCCCACCACTGTCCCACTGTCCCCACCATATCCCCACTGTCCCCACACGACTGTCCCCACCACCACCGTCCCCACCACTGTCCCACAGTCCCCACCACTGTCCCACTGTCCCCACCATTGTTCCCGATGTCCCCACCAGTGCCCCCACCAGTGCACCACTGTCCCCACTCTCTCCACGGCTGTCCCCCCACGGTCCCACTCTCCCCAGTTCCCCCACGTCCCCACCACTGTCCCCACTGTTCCCACCACTGTACCCACTGTCCCCGCCGCTGTCCCACTGTGCTGTCCCACTGTCCCCGCTGCCCCCACCACTGTCCCACTGTCCCCACTGTCCCCACCACTCTCCCCACTAAACTAATGTCCCACCACCGTCCTCGCCACCGCCTTCACCACTATCCCCACCACCGTCCCCACCACTGTCCCAGTATCCCCACCACACTCCAACTGTCACGAGGAGCGGGAATCGTTTGCCGGCGGCAAGGGGGGGGGTTCGAACCGGTAGTGACCCCCCCTGCTTTTCGAGGGAGGGGGACGGGTTGGGAACCCAAACGACCCCCCCCGGTTTTCCGCCAACAGCGGTAGAACACGCGTTTTCACATGAAGAGGGAGTTTACGTAGAGGGAGGGTGTATTGCAGCATCGATGATACGTGTTGGTCTTACAGTGGTCCTCATCCTCCCCCTCCTCCCCCCCTTCTCCTGCTCCACACGCTCAAGCACTGCTCCCACGACACGTCCCCGGCCTGAGAGGCCTCCTTGGGCGCGATGGTAGCTGCGCACCTGCAGAGCGACTGGCGCTCCTCCTCCTCCTCCTCCTCCTCCTCCTCCACCTCCTCCTCCTCCACGGTGGGCGCTTGTGACCACCGCGCGTTCCAGGGCGGTGCCACTTTGGGAGCTGGGCTCACCAGTGGGGTAGCGCGTCTCAGAGCCGCATCACTATAACTCCCTCTCCTC